GGGCCTGCCACTCCAACTAGTATTATCCCCTCATTCTTTTGAGCCAACAGCTGACACGCCCGAATTACTATGAAGAAACCTTTCTCAAATGACAGGACATCTGGAATTTGGACAATCTCGTATCGATCACAGTCCTTTCTTTTCACAAGCTGAACCTGATCCCGCAACAGACCAGAACGTGGCCGCCGTGATTCAGCGCCAGAACTTGTATCTTGGGCCATTTAGAGCTCAAAATCTCTGTTATTTCCTACAAGTTGAACATTAAGTTAATAGTTAACAATCCATTGATAAATTAGCATCCAAGAAATCCTTCCCAGCAGCCAAATTACAGAAATGCAAAAACGAAATTAAAAAAAAAATGCAGATTTCCCACGTGAATAAATCATCAAGAAATTAAAATCGCATAAATTTGGAAACTTCGAAATTTTGATTGAGTCAGAGTGATCAACATTTTTCAAGAGAAAAAATAGAACAAGAATCAAACAAGTAATAAAATTGCAAAACTGTAAACCTGGAAATTCACAAATGTCCATGCTTAAACATCAAGTTAATAACTAACAGTATACTAACATTGATTAATTAGCATTCAAGAACTCCTCCCAGATGAAAATACAAACGAAAATTGGAGATTGCCCAGATGAGGACATTATCAAAGAACAGTAACCCAGAAATTAAAATCGAAAAAAGCTGAAAACTTTGTAAGATTTGATCGAGACAGAGTGATCAGAGTTCATACCTTTTTCAAGAGAGAAAAAAATAGAAGTCACAGCTGCTGCAACTGCTTTCTCTGAGTTCTTGGAGTTTCTGGGAAATTTATACCTGTTGCTATAATTCTTGTCATATTGCGCCGATGGATAGTTATGTAAAAATATGACGCTACATGGCGACGATTGCTTGAGCCTGAGAGGTACGCGCGAGAAGAAATCGGATGCAAAAATTCCTCAGAAAAGAATGGATAAATTCGTTGATGTGTACAAGTTTGGAATTAGATTCTTCTTTCTTTTCAACTTAGTTTTGTGCCACTCCATCAAAAGGCCTCAGACAAGGTGATTCTTTATCTTCGTATTTGTTCTTATTAGTTAGTGATGTTCTCTCTCGGATGATACAAATGGCGGTGCATCAGAAGTTTTTGGCGGGGGTGAGGATGAACTCGTTTGGTCCGGTAATATTTCATATTTTCTTTGCTGATTACACACTTATTTTTCTGAAGGTAAATTGCTCAAATTGTTGCCATCTGGTTAAAATAATTAATGACTACTGTACAGCTTCGGGCCAAGCAGTTAATCTTCAAAAATCATGTGTTTTCTTTGGTGCCAATACTCCGGTGGACGTGTCAGAGGAGTTGGGAGGCGTTCTTAATATGCCAGTGGTTTCTGATCCGGGGACTTATGGTGTTCCCGCAATGTGGGGTCGTTCAAAGCAAAAGGGTTTAGCGTATGTTAAGGGTAGGATTATGAGGAAAATACAAAGGTGGAAGCAAATCACTCTTTCTCAAGTGGGCAAAGAGGTGTTAATAAAAGCGGTTACCGATGCAATTCCAGCATATCCAATGAGTTTATTTAAGTTTCCTGCGGTGCTGTGTAATGAACTGGACTCTTTATTATTAGGGTTTTGGTGGGGACAAGTGGGTGGAGAGCGGAAAATTCATTGGTTGTCCAAAGATATTTTGGGTCTACCGAAGCAAGATAGAGGTATGGGCTTCAAGAATTTTAGTGATTTTAATGATGCTTTACTTGCCAAACAGTGTTGGCGGCTGATTCATAACCCAAATTCCTTGTGGGCTTTGGTCTTAAAAGCCAGATACTTTCCGCACTGCTCTTTCTTTGATGCTAAACGAGGCAGCAGGGCTTCTTGGGCTTGGACCAGTCTTTTGGTGGGTAGAGATTTGTTATTGCAGGGATCTTATTGGCAAATTATGGATGGGTGTACTATGCGATTGTGGGTGGATAGGTGGTTTCCTTCCTTGCCTTTGGGTCATCTCTCGCCAGGTGGAATGGAGTCGGTTACTAAGGACACTCGAGTGGCCTCTTTCATTAACCCTTATTCACGAGGATGGGACATTAATTCTCTTCAACCATTCTTATCAATGGTTTAGCAGGAAGCTATTTTGGAGACGCATTTTGGGGATCTTTGGCGGAATGATAGACTTCTCTGGCCATCCACAAAGAATGGTTTGTATTCGGTTAAATCTAGGTACCATTGGGCTAGGTCACGACATTGCTTCTTGAGGGGTAGGTGTCCCTCATCTTCCACTTCTTCCTCGAGCCAAATTTGGAAGTTTGTTTGGAACTTAAACACCCCACCAAAGCTTCGTAATTTTATGTGGAGAACATTGCATGGAGCTCTGGCCACAGTGGAGAATTTATTTAAAAGGAAATATGCTCCCTCACCGATGTGTCCCATTTGCAATTGTCATGCTGAGTATGTTGAACACCTCTTGTTCTTATGCCCATGGGTGGAAACTATATGGTTTGGTGGGGTGCTTAATTATAAAGTGGATAGCAATGAGGTTACTTCATGGGTGGATTGGCTTCATTCCATTGCATTGCGGCAGTTTGGGTCTAAGGCGGATCAAAGGTTTTTGCTTTCTCATGTAGCTTTTACTTCTTAGCACATATGGAAAGCTAGATGCAATTTTTTGTTCAATAAAAAAACTATCCATCCTACCCAGGTTCTCCTTGCTATATCAAAGTATGTAGCTGTTTTCTTTGAAGCCAATAGGGCTCCTCCACCATTGGTGATTGCTTCATGTACAGCTGCTTCAATGAAGCATTGGTCCTGCTCGTCTTATCCTTATCTGAAGGTCAACATTGATGAGAGTTGGAAGTTGTCGGCAAGGGTTGGCTTTGTGGGGATCGTGATGCATGATGCGAAAGGCTGGTTTGTAGCTGCGACTCGGTATGCAATACAGGCTCCTAATATGGCAACTGCAGAGGCTATTGCTATTTTGAGGGTTTTGAATTGGCTCCTGCTTTGGGCCATCAGTGGGTGATCGTTGAATCTGATTCTAAGGACTCGATTTCTTCATTATCAACTTCGTTGGAATCTGGTAGATGGAAAGCATTTCCTACCTTGGCAAAAGTTTTGAGGTTAGGGAATTCTTTCCAAGGCTGTCACTGGTCTTGGGTCCCAAGATCGGCCAATTTGGCGGTGGACAGGTTAGCGTCGCGTAGTAATACGAAGATGTGTAATGTAACTTGCGTCAATCGACCTCCATCTTCGTTGGTTTTTGTTTTAAATAAGGATGGATTGCCTTGTCCCCCTTAATCTTTTATGGCAGAGGAGGGGGCGATGCTCGAACTTGGTTCTAACATCTTCATTCTTTAACCCCCTTTGCTACTTGTTTTTTTTTTGTTGGTCTGCTGTTGCTTGCCTTGGTGTAGGCTTATTTGTACTGTTGTACCATATCTGCCTTGGAAATGTTATTCCAGTTTCCAAAAAAAAAAAAAAACTTAGTTTTGTGCCACTGATATTTTACAATATAAGCATTCCAAATTGATAATATATTAACGTGTCTTGCAAAGGTTTTATGTGGTTAAACAGAGATTGACCCTCGAGGGCAAAGGCTAAAGAGAGCTTGATTGCAAGACCCACTTGTGAGCATGAACAAAATTGAACCTTAGCAATCAAATGGCATAGCAAAACGCCAACGAGGGTTGGCTAAATTGGTAAGGTCCTTGCCTTGTGTATCGCCTGAACAAGATTATAGTCTAGTTGTCAGCCGTCCTTCTTGGTGTTTGATCTATAAATTCTTACATAAATACATACTAACGGCAGTTAACAGTTAGGTATCACGCGTAAGTCATTCATGTTCAAGGTTATGATTATGGCCTGGCGCTATTGGTGAAAGTAATCAATCTCCCCCTAAACTTTATGTTAATTAACAAAAAAAGCAAAATTACCACATCGATGGAGAGTGTGGGTAAGCAAGTTCTTACTGGGAAGAAATGCAAGAACTTGGATTTTTCATAGGAATAAAAATGGGAAATCCTGAAAATATTACAACTTGTGAAACACAAACAAGTTTTCTTATTTTCATGCACACGTCGTTTACCTTGTTGATTTTTTGTTGTAATCGCATTCCTTAGAGTTGAGTGCACGTTACACTCTAAAACATAAACCTGTCGTTAAATTAAGATAAAGTTAGTATATTGTTTATAAATTTGTTCATGGTACCAAATTTGACACATCCACTCGTTGAGATGACAAATTAATTCATTGGGTTGTTAATGGATACCTATTAAGACTCATTTAGTTTGATTTAACCTTGCACTATCATCACCACTACCAATCTCACTTCTATATTATGGGGATATCAAATTAAATGAGTCTTTAGCGGGTACCCGTTAACAACCCAATGGGTTGATTTGCCACCTCTACGCGCCAATGTACAAGTTGCCTAGAGAAGCCGTATTTGGTCATGCCAGCATTTGGTACCTCAGCCGTATTTGGTCATGCCAGCATTTGGTACCTCAACTCTCATTTCTGTTGTTGTTTTCTACTTCTTAACATTTCCTTGGGAAATAACAGCTTAATCGGATAAATTCTTGAGTCTAGCAAGTGAATCACATAATGCAATACAGAGTGTTCACGCAAGCTCATATTGGTCCTTTCCCATATAATGGGATTTTTACCGTACAAAAGTGTTTTTTTATTTTTTTTAACCAATGATAGAATAATCTACATTAAACTTATTTAACGAAAGTAATTGAAATAATTCTTAAAACGGTATTAATATTTATTTTTTAAGGTAGTAGAGAATAAGAAAGATGTTACTTTAGTCCAACTCTCATATATTACAATTTAAGCGGCTCAGATTCATTTGTTTTAAATTCCGTGAATTTCTTCTGCTAATATCTAGCCGTAAGGCGCTAATTTTTGTTTATATTTTCATATAATATATACACACAAATATTATATATGTATACATTTGTTTGTTTGTGTATAATATTTGTTAAATGATGTTGTTGGTTTCCATAAAGTTGGAACCCGTGACTGACAAACCCAGTCGTTGTGCTTTATATAAGTCAAGACAGAAGACCTCACTTCAGAGAGAGTAACAAGAGAGAGAAAGGGAGATGAAGATGGAAGGCACGCCGGCTGTCCATGGATACTACATGCCTGCAGAGTGGGAACCCCATTCCCAGTGCTGGATTGGATGGCCTGTAAGTATTAACCCTTCTGTTTCCATTTAATTACCATCTAAATAACCGCACGTGCCTTAATTGGGTTTCTTCAATTTTGCATCTTTATGTAGTAGAATTATTCTCTATGTTGTTCTGCGCCTTGTGGCTGATGGGGTCTTCAGAATCTGTGTTTTCTGTACTTTGTTTGTACTTCATGTTTTTGAAAAATATAAAATTTCATAGACGTTTCCTCTGACCCTCGCAAAGCAGGAGCCTTGTTGGCTTGGGATTGCCCTTTTTGTCGTGCTACAGTGTATGTGAAGTCCTGCCAATTCCATCGATATGTCCTCTTGTTGTTGCTCATTTGATGCAGTTGTGATGTCGTAGGCTGCAAGTTCTTAGGACGGAGTCGATTTTCGAGTACAGATTTTTGCTTGCTCTATGTTAGTTATAAGAATGCAGTATAATTCAGCGCTATCCCGAAAATGCTGAGAGGTGTTTTCTTAGCGTTTTATATGAAATTCTAAGTGTTTCCCTCGCGGTAACAGGCCTAGTATCTCTATTTACTTGGGATTTGGGGCTTGTGCTGCTCAGTATTCATATTAGGAACACAGAATTTCCTGTTTCTGCCAATGAAGGCTCGATATACTGCTCTGCTATCATTGATTATAGGTGCCTCTAGTGATCTTTGTTGTATATTTCCATTCCGTTTGGGCTTGGTTCTCTTATTTAGGTACCACAGTCGCTCATTGTCCTCGGTCTTCACATCTTTCATTTCATGGATGTGTTGATCTTACTTCTGTTTTCATCTCAGCATTCTGTCTCATAAAAAGCTTCATCTACTTGTGATAATTAAGCTTCGTTGTGAATTATAGGAACGCCCGGATAACTGGAGAGACAATGCAGTGCCTGCTCAACAGGTGTTTAAGAAGGTGGCATCTGCAATCTCAAAGTTTGAGCCTGTGACTGTCTGCGCGAGTGCCAATCAGGTTGGTATAATTTGGAAAGTCTTTGGTATCTCTACTAGTCACTTATATTATTCTCATGTAAGATTTAATTGAATTTATTACTCTCAGTGGGCAAATGCACGAAGTCAGCTACCAGAAAATGTCAGGGTTATCGAGATGAGTTTGAATGATTCTTGGTTTCGTGATACAGGACCGACCGTGAGCTTCTTCTTTTGACTCATTTTTAAGTTGTGATGAGATCTTCCTTAGCAGGATACTATGATCTTATATTTTACCTTTAAAACATTATTTTTCTTACAGTCCTAATCTTTTTCTATTTTCGTTAGTTTGTCGTAGGAAAAAGTGCATCTTGTTCTGTTACGCAAGAGGCAAAGGTTGCTGGTATTGATTGGAATTTCAACAGTTGGGGAGGTAGGGTTTATAATTTCATCAATTTTCAAGCAACGGAACACTATAATGTTTTCTTGAACAATACAAAAATATTGTTAGAAACTTCGATGTTTTCAGGGTATAATGTCATTGTTTTAATGTTTACTCATCGCTGCACTTTACGTGGACTTATCCTTGTTTATAGGCATTGATGATGGTTGTTATCGAGATTGGAGTCATGATCTTCTTGTGGCACAAAAGGTTAGAGTAACTAAATAGATCATCGTTTGATTGAACATGACGTGTAACTTTGTTCTTTGTGACACTGCTTAATGGTTTTCTGAACACTCATACTCTGCAGATCCTGGAAATTGAGAAGCTTCCAAGGTTTCAACACTCCATGATTCTTGAAGGTGGAAGCATCCATGTCGATGGAGAAGGTAACAAAATTTTAAGCTTATCTTAGCATTTGGAAAGTTCTTGACTCTTTATGAATTGGCTTTCACCGGCAGCAGAGTTACTTCCGGATCCTTCCATGCCTTGAAACTGTTTGAATCATAAATGATGGGAGACTCTGGTCGTTGTTGTAATCTGTTCTTTCTTGTTTCTGTATCAAAAACCCTTGCTTTTGATTGATTGGCATTTGCACCCACTTTAGACCGCACCTTGTATCTCTGCCTTTTTCGTTATTCTTTATTCTTATACGACAAAATTTGGCGATGGCTGCTTATGATTTGTACTACCATGTGCCTCATCTCGTAAAAGTTCAGAACCCTGTATACTTTTCTTTTCGGCACAAAAAATTGCCATTTACGAAAACTCATTCTTTCTGCCTGTATGTAGTTGTAATCTTTATGATCTAATCAGCACCTGCTTTCTTCCTTCAGGGACTTGCCTCACCACCGAGGAGTGCCTGTTAAATAAAAACAGAAACCCACATTTGACCAAGGAGCAAATAGAGGATCAACTTAAGGCATATCTCGGAGTGACGAAAATCATTTGGTTGCCTCGTGGATTATACGGTAAGAATTCTACTTGGTTTCTAACTTACTATCTTACGTGAAATGCTCGTTGTTCTTGATGCTCATTTTTCCTTCCCCTTGCAATGATTTACGTTACATGATAAGTCTGCATATGCATATGGTAGATATAATTTAGGCCGCCTACTTTTATTGAAACCTAAACTACCTACAAAAATCCTTGACAGGAGACGATGATACTAATGGTCACATCGACAGTCTGTGCTGTTTTGCAAAGCCTGGTGTGGTTTTGTTGTCGTGGACTGATGATGAAACGGATCCTCAGTATGAAAGAGCTGTAGAAGCCGTTTCTGTTCTCTCCAATACTACTGATGCCAAGGGTAGGAAATTAGAAATAATAAAACTTCACATACCAGGGCCGCTGTATATGACAGAGAGAGAGGCTGCCGGACTTTTTCAGGTAAACATTGTACAAACTGCAGACACGGTTCACCCTTCATGTTGCTTTAACCAAGTCTGGATACATTCAGCTAAAGGCTAATTTACGTCTGAAAATGTTGATTTAGTCTCGATTGTTACGTTGTGGATGACTTTTTAAAAAATGCCTTGGTGCATCTTTTTATTTCCGGTGTTTAATGTCCCTACAGGAGGACTGCGAAGCTAAACCGAGACTTGCAGGCACGAGACTTGCTGCTTCATATGTAAATTTCTACATTGCAAATGGAGCAATCATTGCACCCCAATTCGGGGACCAGAAATGGGATGATGAGGCTGTTCGCGTCCTATCCAAAGCCTTCCCAAACCATGAAGTAAGCTGAATTTATTTTTGATTTTCTCCAGCATCTTCATATACACGTTAGATATAGTCGTATACCTAGTTCAATCGTTCAAAAGTTTGAACTTCTTGGACCTGCAGATCATAAAGCCTAACTCACCCTGTGATTTTTACTAGCTGCAATCGCGAGACTGTAAAACGTATCATTAGCGTATGCTGTGCTAGGCTTAGTATCGTTGTGAAAGTGAACATAATATGATAGGAAGCGGTCTCTTTTCAACGCTATGGGAAACAACGACGGGTTTTACACAGTTTGTAGATGAAAATGGATTCATCTTCTTTTATATTTACCGGTGTTTGTTTCTGCCGCTTTTTTCTGTCGCTGAACAAGCATTTCAATGTCCGGTGGGTCAGGTGGTAAGAATTGAAGGCGCAAGGGAGATTGTTCTGGCGGGCGGAAATATACATTGCATTACTCAGCAACAACCACGCATTCCGCTCAGTATCGTCAACCATGATTCCTTTCATACATAGAATGGTGCAGATAGCTTGATCCATCAGTTCTATGTGTTTCGGGTCCAGGGGACTCATCAAGCAGAGACCGCTAGTCTCCACTTCGTTCTAATGTTACAGCGTTTGGCTTACAAGCCTTCGAAGTACAAGGTAATAAAGTGCCTAGACCCAAAGACAAAGAAGTTATCATAACTCTCGTTGATTGAGTTTTGGTGTGTACTAATACTGCCACGAAGAAGATTTGTTTAATCGAGTTGCATAACATTTATACATTGCATCTTCGGAAACAGCCTTCAAGCACTAGGAAACATCTAAGACCTCTCACTTCCAAGTGAAGAAGAATATCACCGGACCGTAGTACTGAGTGACATCAAATATGTTCTAAATGCTGCATGTAACACCAACATTCGACATGCATAAAACTCTCTTAACCATTGTGACGAGTTCACTTATTATCTTTATGACATAGGTGATGGAATGATAATGTTGTTTTTGTCATACATTGTTTTATGACTATAAAAAACTCGAATGGTTAATGATTTAAAATCTTTATATCGAGAAGAAAGACACTAACAACTTTCAGCAAAAACCAAAAATGTGAATTATGGACATGGTTTCTCTTTACTCAAATTGTTTTTTGAAGGAACCTCGATGATGCGAGAACATACTTTACTAATCAATTTAAAAAAAAAAAAACACTATGAGGATGTAATTCTCAACTATCTTACACTATGAGGATGTAATTCTCAACTATCTTTAAAAAATAAAAATAAAAAAAAATAAAAAAAAAGCATGTTGGACAAAAGTTGGCTAAAAAATTAAATATTAATGACATATGGTTAAAATTTTGGCGAGATAAAAAACCAAATGTCAATCACATGCAATGTTCTAAAAAACCCTATTTAGGGCTGGCTAGGCCTAATCTAGACGGTTGATTACCTCTCCGATTAATACTTAGATGTTTAAAAAATAAGAAATGACGGCTAAACTTGCCTAGGCGGACGCCTACCCGCCTAGACTGACTAGGTTGCGATTCTCACATAGTTCATTTTGTATTTTATTTTTACTATAAACTGTAAGAAACTTTTTAGATACTTTGATGAACACTCATTATATGATTGTTCTTAATATTTTTAATATGCTCTAGTACTTTACGTCTAGGCGTTAAGCCCCTGACCACTGCTCAACTAGCGGCCAACGCCTTTTATAACCTTAATCACATGCGGAAAAAAATGATCATTTAAGTGATTGAGATTTGACAAAAAGAAAATCAAATTAATCAATTTCTTAAAAAAAAATTAAAATTTATTTATATTGAAGGGTGGCTTTTGGTACGACATAACAGAAAGAAATGGAGGGGAAGTGAGAGTGACTCAAGAACCATAAAAATGCATCCATGTGTCATGTGTCATGTGTGGGTCAGATTTGTAATTTGAGAGATCCATCGCCAAATTAAAACCTTCAACAGATAGAAAACACGAATCCCAAATGACACTCAAGCTCCTTCTCATTACCATCTTCCTCCTCCATTGACTGATTGACATGAACGCCCCAGCTCTTCCGAATCCGTTTTCGAAAACACGATTCCGTTTTTGAAAGCTTCCCTTTTTTGGTTTCTGGATTTATTTGTTTATTTATTCGAGAGAGAGAGAGAGGGAGAGAGAGGATCAACAGCTGAATAACGAGTATACCAGATGGGGTGCACATTCTCTGGTTTAGGAGCTCTGTACGACGCCGTGAATGGCGGAGGCGACGTGTGGATCAACGAGAATCGGTTCAAGATCGTGAGGCAGCTCGGGGAAGGTGGGTTCGCCTATGTGTTTTTGGTCAAGGAGGTGGTCGCCGATTCCTCCTCCTCCGGCGGTGGCGGCCTCGCCAAGAAATTCAAGGATTCCTCTCACGTCTCAGGTGATTCAATTTATGGGGTTTGTTGATTTTTTTGATGTGTTTGTGAGAATTTGGGATCTGGGTAGTGAGCTGTTTTGGATTTTGTGATCTGGGTTGCACTGATTTGAATTGAAAATGGTTGAAGTCTGTATCTTTGAGGAATTAGTGATCTGGGTCATATGGATATATGAATCTGAAATTATTGGTTTTGATTCTCTGAGCGGGGAAGCAATGGTGATTTGGCCATTGAATTTGCTGAATTGAGTTTAAAGTGTGACTCTTTTGTTCTTCGAATGTGTTGAGTGGTAGCATGCATCGATTCTTTGGTAATATTAATGTTTGATCTGAGCCTATGGCATTGTTTCGACCTTCCAGTGATGAATGCATTTGTGATTTGGCCTTCATGTTCTTACTGTTTATGCTTGACTGATGCTCCGGCGATTGATCGGTTTGCAATTCAATTTCGGAAATTATTACAGCTTGGTTGTACTCTATTCTTTCGCAGATGATGGAACTTATGCTATGAAAAAAGTTCTCATTCAGAATAGTGAGCAGTTGGAGTTGGTGAAGGAGGAGATCCGTGTTTCATCGCTGTTCAGTCATCCCAATCTGCTTCCACTTCTTGATCATGCCATTATTGCCGTTAAGGTTAAATCTGAAATACTAAGTTTCATATGGCGTATACAATACTTTTAGGTTTTTTCTTCCCGGAATGGGAGCCTTCCGTCAATTTTATCATTGTTTTCGGTTTTGCAATTGATTCATCTATAATACTCTCTTTGGCTGATAGACTGCACAAGAACAATCTTGGAACCATGAAGCATACTTGTTATTTCCCGTTCATCTGGATGGAACATTACTGGACAATGCCAAGACTATGAAAGCTAAAAAGGAGTTCTTTTCCACCTCAGATGTTCTTCAAATATTCCGGCAGGTGAATGAATATTTCATCTCGCATTTTTCCCCTTTTAACTTGAAACTATTACACTTCCGAAAGAAGGGAATGTCAATCTGAACTAATGATGGGATGATACCGCTCAACATCGAAATGTTAGTGATTAACTGTACATTGTGCAACAGTTTAGCTCTCAATGTGACTTTCTTTATTACTGAGGTGCAGTGTTTGATATCAAATTAAAAGTCTTTGCTGTTTTCTGCTCAAGAAACTGTAGATTGTGTGATGCATTTAAAACTTTTTAAAGAAGCCTTCAGGAACGCCATAAACAACGTTACAGCATGTTAACTTTTTATTAAGCAATCTATATATAATATAACTGGTCTAAAAGCCTTCAGCAATGCTACCAAGTTCCGGGGCAATTGATGTGTCATATTCCAATTGCTTTTTTATGTCCCACAGTGGTATATTTTGTTGGTAAAACATATTTAGAAGCATCAAAAGCATTCTAACCTAGAAAAAACAATGTTACAGCTTTGTGCAGGACTCAAGCATATGCACACTTTTGATCCACCATATGCACATAATGATATCAAACCTGGTAACGTTCTGATAACCCATAGAAAAGGACAATCACCTCTTGCAATATTGATGGATTTTGGCAGTGCTCGACCTGCGAGGAGGCAAATTCGCTCTCGTACAGAGGCACTACAGTTGCAGGTATATATTTTGAAATCATTTTGGATTTTTCTAAAAGTATTTTTAAATTTTATTTTTTGAAATAGTAACTAATATTTTTTTGTTCAGTATGCTTAATGCAATCCGATGTTGCGTATTTGTATCTCTTCGATTTCAATTGGTTTAATGTCTTCAAAGAAAGACACCTCTTTAATGTTTAGTTTTCTCATCTGGTAACTTTTAGATGAAAAAAAATTGAAGTGATTTAACTCGCTTGTTATGTAGGAATGGGCGTCTGAGCATTGCTCGGCACCATTTCGAGCTCCAGAGTTGTGGGATTGCCCAAGCCAAGCCGATATTGACGAAAGAACTGATGTATGGTCATTAGGATGCACTTTGTATGCAATACTGTGAGTACTGAACCTTCTTCTTGAACTTACTATTATAGCTCTGAAGTTTGAAAATCGTATTGATCGTCTACCTTCTGCCGCAGTAGTGAACGTTTTATGCTGCGTTGTTTAAGGAACTGTTTTAATGTGTATATATACGTATACATAACAGTATCTGGCATGGATGTGACACCTTTGTTGCTTGCTTGTGAAGGCTATTAAGATATTGAATATACATAATATCATTCTGTTATTTCGCATAGTAATGGCTTACTGCCAAATACTCATTCAGTACCATGATCAGCATCATTCTCGTCTGCCATAGAAGCAAAAGTGTGCCTCTAGTTAGCTGCTGTCACTATTTTTTTTCTAAGTTCTGATGCCCGATTTTTATTTAACAGGTACGGAATGTCTCCTTTTGAATATGCACTCGGCGAATCTGGAGGAAGCCTACAACTGGCCATAGTCAATGTGCAGATAAAGTGGCCAGCCGGACCTAATCCTCCATATCCAGATGCTCTTCACCAGTTTATCACATGGATGCTTCAGCCGCAGGCTGCAGTCCGTCCTCGCATTGACGATATCCTAATTCACGTGGACAAGTTGATCGCCAAGTTCTCCAAGTGAGATAATATAGAAGGAAAGAAAGTATGAAAACAAACTTCCTCCGCACATGTCGACATTGCACATTTCGGCAGAGGTCCTTGAAGTCGGATGGACGTCGTGCGTTTTCTTTTGTACTCAAAGGGTTAATAGGGCAACTGAGTTTATAGCAGCTCCTCCAGTATTACATACTTCTTACTTTTTTGCCGTAGGATTTGCAGTTTGTGCATTCGTTTATTGTTATCGTGCTCCTGTCTCAACTGTTTGATTTTGCACTTGTAAGTTATCAAACTGCTTGTCTCCCTTGACTCGAATTCTTTCAATTAGTTACAATACAATAATTTCGATTCATTAAGCGAGCAGCAAGTTTAATTACTTATTCGAACTTGGAACTTCTTCAATTATTGGGAAGATAAATACGACTAAACCAAGAACTCGTTCATAGTACAACTACAACTCGAACGAAACTAATTTTATCATAATCGATCTTTCATGACCTACGGAGGTAGAACGCTACGGTGGTTTTTCATCCTATATCATCGATTCACGCAACTGTGTTCAGATATCAACAATACATACACATTCTCAATTTTCCACAGGCTCAATGCCTTTCTATAAGCACATTTCTTTAAGAATCACAACAAGGTTGCTCGTGTGAATACGAAACCTGCCTGTTTGAAGGACATGATATGGATCTCATAAAAATTGTTTGACAATCTTTTCAGTGTAGTCTAAAGAATACATAGGCACCTCACTTGAGTTTGAACTGTCTTTTTACTGTCAGTCCTCGTGTTCATCATCCTCGCCTTCAGAATCTGCGGTAAACAGGAAAGGTAGAGTGAGCGGGTTAAAACATTTGACATTAGTTTGAAAATGGACAAATCCCTAAAACCCTTGAATCATTTTTTTTCCGGCCAGTTGCTGTCATGGTTTCGTGCAGGTAATCCAATTTTCAATTACCGTTTTCCCCTATGCAAGTAAGGTATATGTCCGACTTATAAAACTGTCAATAGAAGAACTTGTTACCAGATCGAACATCGTCATCAACTTTCCCTCTAGCCTGAATTTGCTTCACGAGCATCCGAACCATCAACTTCCACCAATAAATATGACAAAAGAGCAAGCCAATTAGAAGAGTATTAAACAAGTAATAGTATATAGATCCATCCACTATGTGCTTCTCCTTGTCCAAGGTCAGAAGAGCTTCATAGCTGCCAGAAACAAATGGAACCAAAAATTAATCTCTGTATATATCATGAGAAAAAAGCATCATTTAACAAGGAAATTCAATAAGTATATGATATATTCTCTATGCCAATGTTAACGCCGCAAGGAAAACAGAAAAATTCTCTCTGCACGTTTAACTAACCTGGTACTCCATATTATCCAGAATGGAAAGTAAATAAGACGTAGTACTGTCCAAGAGAGAACAAAACTAACAAAAGCAATGCCGGCAAGCATTTCAAAGCCACAATATTTTGACAACTTTGCAATTTCTAAAAACACATCAGATCCTTCATGGAGAGCTAAAATGACCGAGCCTACTCGAGAAAACCTGCAGAGGGACAAAACAGATAATTAGGACACACGAAAAGATAGAGGCTAGCCTGCATAAGAAAAAAGCGAAGAAGCAAGTTGACATGCTTTAAAACTTACTTGAATATGTAAGACGCCACAATTAAAATCGTAGTTGCTAAATGATGAGACATTGAAACTACAAAGTCAGAACGCCGTGTTTCCCAAAACACCAAAGCAAAGGTGGAGTAGATGTAGAATCCAGCGGAATACATGTAAAGCCCCTTCAATTTTAATCTGCCAAAAGGAAATATGTCAGGCCAGATGAGATGCAAAAGGCAATTGATTGTAGAGCAAAATTACACATATCATCAGACATCAAAGTAAACAAAACCTGATGTCTATAGTGAGTTAAGAGACGAACTTGGTTTTCTGGTCAGGCCAAATCTGATTGCCAGGCCCTACCCAGAAATATCTGGTTTTAGAGAACCAAGGCTCATCGTACGTAACATATAGAGCCAAAAGCTCCGCAGTGAAAAAATAAACACATTTGAATGCCGACTCTTTGAATTTATTAACTTTCTTCCGATTATCACGTGTCTCAACATTCAGCGATGCATACTTCTTTCCAAACAAAAGGCGCTTTGCTAATCTCTGCCATAAAAAATAACAACAAAAAGTACAACTCAAACTGATAAGGACCATAATTTTCAAGTCTACCAAAGTATATAAACCCTCACAAGCAATGAAACACGTAATGTGGATCAACATTATATCGACGAAAAGCTTCAGATGGTGAGATTTGCATTCTTCATAGTTTGATACGAAAAGAGATTTTCCAAGCTCAACATTTCCCTATGACTAATAATTTCGACATGATATTTGTCTTTACACAACAAATTGGAATGTGGGATTGCAAGCAACCGCGAAAGATCACAGCTTTCATGAATGACAATACAAGAATAAAAACTCAACCAAATCAAAGTGAAAAGATCACAACTTTAAACTGCAAATGTTACCAACGCAGCCTGAGATCCAATTTTGTTACCATTTTCTACAATTTGATAGTACTAAAATAACATCAAGGTAATGCACGTGATCATCTGGTCTAGTGGCACTCAGTCTCCGCTTTATTGAAGCATGTCACGAGTTCAAATCTCACGAACGACATTTATTGATAAAAAGGAAAGCAGCATCAAGTGAATGAAATTGAAATTTAATCATATATAAACTTCCCACAAATAATCACAAAGTGCAAAACTAGTTCCATTCCATAGTACCCTGAAATTAAATCGTCCGATAAACTCGAGAGCTGCAAAGAGTTGTACCTCAAAGACGAAAATGTCCAGGAAGAGCCTGAGTGACGGGAAGAGAAGAACGAACAAGGGGAGGACAAAGAAGTCATTGGGCACTGGGTACGACTCCTCCTCCCAGTTGAGTTTGACCAAATCACTGATTCCAGACAGACCCATTATTTCCTCCATCAAATCCAAGAGTTTGAAGAGGCGGAGGCAGAGGAGGAGGCGGCGGCGGCGGAGGAGGATCGGTAGTGTCGCCGGAAGGCGTCGTATTGGTGGAAGTGGAATATAGATTCAAGGTAATTGACTTTTGAAACCGTACGCAAAAAACTTCAACGGTTTTTAACGGTACATATTTAATCGGGTCATGCAGTCTTAGATAACCCGGTTTGGATTATCCATGGGCGGTCCACTGCAAAGTCCGGACCTCGTTTTGTGAAATTTGGAAACGTGGGCCCATTTAAGTAAACAATCCAATTGGCCCAAATGAATTATATATTATTTTTTCCAATGCACACTCAGTGTCACAACAAGCAGTGATACTCTCTTATTACCAATTCATCATGTGGCTAGCGTATATTAGATAGATGGACATTGAAAATGTGGCAAACATATAATGGATAGTTAACGCGATTGAAACTATTTCTTAATTGAAAGAAAGATCTTTCTTTATCAGAAGGCTAATAGCTTACGTCATCACAATAAACCAGGTTGTAGCCAAGTTAGTGACGGTGCATAGTGACTACCTCTAATACATATTTGAATATTGAATTTTTTTTTTTAACAAACAATATTATCTACACTAAATAGGAGGGGTGGGCTTAACCTCACAATGGGCTAGCAATAATATGATTCAAATTCACCTTTGACGAGAATCGAATCTAAGAACTCTTACTTACAAGTGAAGAGGAAAACTACTAGACCATAGTACTAAATGACATTTGACTACTGAATTTGATTAAGTGGTTTAAACTGAGTAATCAAGGACTGTTAGATTTTCAAAGATAAAATTTATGTTGGCACAAAGTGCGTACATGCACTCGTCAAATTAACCTTGAGAAACCCCTAGCGTTTATTAAAAAAAAAAATTTCTGGTAACTGAAATAAATTTGTATAACACAAACGTATTATCAGAATATTCTGTGCTAATAATACAAGAACACACACACACAAACCAGCTTTAGACAACATTGTCCCCATTGCAAAAACACAATGAAGACAAGGCAGAAGCAAATCGTGAGGTGATCACCTCTATAGGACAAGCAGCTAGAATACTACCATTATACATGGGCCGATGGGCCTCACCCATGTCTCCTCCTCATATCATATATGTGTATACATACATACATATAGATGAACACATATATATATGGGGTATGATAATAGTGCAAACTTGACAATCTCTTACACAATATGTTAACCTGATACAGAATGATACAAAAAAAACATGTTTCGGGTTAATCCGTTAACGAGTCGGATCGTTTATTGGAGTCAATCGTTAAAAATTCATTAACGAGTCAAGTCATTATCGGATCACCATTAAGAACCCGATAAGATATCGTTTGCTAAATCTAAACATTAGGCATGAAATTTCTTGCATATCCAGTTAACTCCACACAAAACGACATGATTTATTAACAAATTAGTTTGTTATCGGGTCACCTAATCAAAATCCGTTTAGATAATAATTTTGACACAACACAACTCGTTAAGTTAACAGATCTGAAACGAAAATGACACAAACGGAACAATCATTATCCGTTTGCGAGTCTAAATAGTGGACGTTCCATTCCAGCCACTGCAGAGATATTGGAAGTGGGAAACAGCCAAAAATCTTGGTCAACAGTGTAGGGGTCATGGTGTGGCCCAAACCAACCTGTATTTAAACTCTTTTAACTTCGTTTTGTTCTTGCCCTTTCCTCATCAAAGAGGGCCCACCGTCACACGAATTGTCAATTATATGTCCAAGTGGTATGTATTTCACGAGAAGGAGTACTTATCAACAACCAGATGATGTCATTCAATTACGCACAAGAGATGTTCAGAAACGCGTCTTATATTACAATGCATGATTAATTTGAGATATCGTTTTAAAGTCATTATGAGTTTTGGTCTTAGAGTCATTATGTTGGAGTCAGGATTCTCTTTGAATTTATTTGGAGTTTAAGAATTAGGAGATTCGGGCTATTGAAGAGAGAGATTTAGATTCTTAATTTATAACGTGGTCCAGTGGGAGGACTAATGCAAGCCGCATTACAAAATCAACAATCCGAATCTCCTAATCTTTGGCTTCCGAACATAGATATCTGAAACGGGTCTCAAATCCTTCAGTTGTAAGGAAAATCATTTTCCTGAGGATCCTGTGATCATGACTATTCATAATACATCGTGCGATCAGAAATCATTTCAAAATTTAAAATTTAAAATTAAATATAAATAATACCTAATGAAAACTAACCGTACGATGTACGATGAATGGTTATGATCACAGAATATCTAGGATCCCCTAGAAAAGAATCTGACGAGGATACTTTTTCTGGTTGTAAGGAAGTTCTTCTAGCACTTGCCTTTGTACCATTGGCTTCTAGGGTTTGCACATTCAAAATGTCACCAGCTCATCTCATCTGAGACTGTAACAATGTCTATCATTTCAAGAAGTTAATACAGAAGTAAATATTACTTTTTACCTGTGGAAGATATCTGTCCGATCGATCACTATAAATTGACCCATCCAAACTTACCTCCTTGCATTGTCCCAAAAAAAAAAATTTAAAATACTTACCTCCTTGCAAAAGCAGTACAGCAAACACAGAAGCAGAGCAATAAATAGCAAGACAAGCACACGGTTTCTTCACTACTTTTGTTTAAGTTGAATTGAAATTTCAATATTTACGGCAGCATGCATGATTATACAACATAAGTGTTACAATATTAGGGTGCTAGGGTTGACGGAATTTGGATTCTCTTCGGATTTTGGTGTTTGGAGTTTATGAATCTAAGGATTAGAAAATTCGAGTTTTTAGTTTGTGTGAAAGAGAGATGGAAGCTTTTGTTTTGTATAAGATTGGTCGGTGAAATGAGTCAATAAAGACCGTTTGATTTAAAAATATTATTATTATATATTGAATTAACATAAACTAATTAGCAAGCTGGATTGCACATTGGGATTATTGAGTTGTTAGATTAGGATTCTGTTTTCTTCTCTTCCCCCAATACCAATACAAAAAGGACAAGGATTGTTTGTCCTTCCACTTCCGGTGCCCTCTGTTTGTGTGGTCATGGTTATGTTACGTCAACATTTTATATTACTATTTATTTTTGTCTTATTATCTCTATAAAAAAACTACATAAAATGTTGACGTGGCTTAACCTTGACCACACAAAACAGGAGGACACTGAAGTGGGAGGACAGACAATCCTTATCTATACAAAAAAAAAAGGAAAATTTTGAAATAGGTCCAATTTTTAGTTACTTTAGACCCATTTCAAAAAACCCTTAAAAAAAAGCATAATCTTTGCTTTAAGGAGACACACATCGTCAAACACAATCAATTTTGGTGGAGAGCATCGCAGCCCCTAGCAGAAACAGAATTTTGACTAGTTCCTATCTCTTTATCCAATAAAACCCTACAACTCCAAGATAGAACTCGCACGAAACGGAGATGCTAATGTGATGTTCTTCCAAACTTAGCAAACGATGGAAAGTTAAAACACGTTTAAGATAAAGACACCTTAGCTTTTGCAAATTCTTGTCTTTTCAAAGAGAGAAGGATTTACAAGGGACTTATTCGTTATCACGTGAAACACAATCCTAAACTTATTCTTCAACCATAAGAAAGCTAAAACACGTAAAGATGCGTGATCCATTTATGACACAACCACTTTAACTTCGCATATTCTTGTCATTATAGAGTGGGAGAATGACTTAAATAACACTAGTGCACTGTCACGTGATATCTGATCTTTTAATACATTATCATTTGTAAATTTTTCTTTCACGTGATAACGTATTATTAGACCAGAACGCTATGACGGTGAACATATTTCATATACTCAAAAATTGATGTACCTTTTTGAAAGACAAGTAGGGATTTTAATTCAAGTTGTGAAAGCTAAATGAGGTAGTGAATAGGTCCTATTGTATCCCTATTAAAAACACCATGTATGGAACTCATATAATATTATTCTCTTACTCTGTTTTCTTTGTTCCGTATCTGCATTTATGCCCCTCCTCTTTCCCTTGATAATAGTAAGGACACGTGGAGAGAGAAACCCAATGAGCCCTAGTGAGTGAGCAACCACCAATGTCCTTTCAAATTCAAGGGAGAAGGCAAAAGCTTTAAGCTTTGGTGTGCAGGGTGGAGTATTTCACTTTCACTGGCAGCAGCTTCTAGCTTGCTAGCTGTCTTTCTGCTCGGTAAAAAAGTAGAATTTATTGGTATTTAGATTTCCAGGCAGTGTGGTAGTAGCACTCACAGTTATTGCAGCCAGATTATTGGCTTTTTGTATAAGTAGAGGGAGAGAAGTGCTTCTGGCTTTTGGGGTGTTGCTCTCAAATGTGAGATCGGTAAGCTTTGCTTTCCCTCTCTTTTCTCTTTAAAAAATACTCTGAGCTAAACTAACGGGAGAGGGGAGGGTTTGAGTCCTAGACACAGTTGGTTGAAGAGAAAGATCCTATCCACGAGTTACAATAAAAACTCTTAGTTCTGTTTTCACTGTGCTTTCCTCTGTATTCCTCTGTTTTACTCTGTTTTTACTCTGTTTTCCCCTGTTTTGGTTTCTGTTGATTCAGTTATGGAGTCTGGAAAAGTGTTTGGAGGTGTGGAGGAATGCCACAGCAGTGAGTCCGGGTGGACGATGTACATTGGCTCCCACTTCGAAGGCGAAAACGACGGTGGCATGCATCAAGAAGAAGATGATGATGGTGGAAAAAATTATGGTGGTCATCATAAGGATGAAGAGAGCGATGATTCAATGGTCTCTGATGCATCCTCCGGTCCGAGTCATCATCACGGCCGTCCATGTGGAAAAGAGAGGGTGGCAGCTGAGAAAAAGGGCAAGAAGAAACCAGAGAAGGAGAAGCAAACCAGAGGTGGAAGGAGAAAGAAGGAGGAGAAGAAAGAGAAGGCACTGTTGATTCATAGCAAGAAACGATGAGAGGTCAACCGGAAAGGGGTATTTTGGGGAAGGAAAAATTAAAACTAGAGGTTTTTTGTTGTTCTTAATCATCAGCTAATTATTATTATTTTGTAGCTGATTAATTGTACCTCAGTTAAGAAAAATTGGGGTGCAATTTACTTTTATGACTATGGTTTCAATATCAAATTAACTTTTTGGTGTAAGCATATATTCAATAAATTAATCAAGTATTATTGTTTATTTTATTAGATAACTAGGATTAATATGCTTGTATTAATCCATAAGTTGTGAGAAATTAGATGCGCGGATTGGCTTTCAGAACTATTGTTTGAGAATTCGCTTGATGGGACGGAACAAGATAAGTTTATTGAAACACTTGGGCCTTAATATCCGACCCAAATCAAGCGAATATTCAAGAATGACGTCCTGTAAATAGTAGAACATGGTGAATTTAGTAGAATTATAACCAAACTAACGACATTCTCCATACAAAACTGGTTGAAATTTTTTACACAGCCTAATACAAAAATGTAAATTTATTTGTAAGTATTCAACCACTTATATTATACTACTTGATATACCGAATCACGTTTTCTACTTGATATACCGAATCACGTTATCGGCACTGGAAAAAATTTATTATACAAAAGCAAAAGGAGTTAAAAAGTGTGGTTGGCGGAATTACAAAAGGATAGTAAGTTGGTGAGTAGTTAATTTATAGCCGTATCATCTGACCAAAGAACAGAATATGGTAAGTTGACACTTCCAAATATAAACCAGCATGTTTCATGGGGTTTCTGTTAACGCCAAATGCATAGGATTATATTTTCTGGTTGCTGTTAAGGTACTGTATGTGGGAATTTTTAATACCGTCACGGGATTTTTAGCCGTTAGATCCTTGATACGTTGAAAGAGCAGCAGAAAACAGCAACACAGTTCTGCATTTAAGCCATTTCCTCGGAAATTCCAAACGTTTTCCTTGTTTTTTTCCTGCTTAAGTTTTAAAAGTTTTCTGCGGGCACTTGAAAAGTTAATTTAGAAAGGCATTTCTTTCATAATTAAACCTTTTTTTTTTCCTCCCATATTTTTATTTAATTTGTAGTCATCAGTTTATATAAATAAAACGAAAGTAGAAGACAAGGTTAAAGACGATTACATTAGTGCATGGAAAGAGAAAAAAAAATGTGTTTATTATTTTTCTTAAGTAATGATCACGGTGTGTCGGCTTTAACAGTCACGAGGATTGCATGTATCGAATATCATAATAAATAAGGTGTTTCGTTTTGCATTTACAATTTTACCTGTCTATAATTGAAAGGTGATAGTATTTACCATGTTTCTTTCTCGAAGTAAAATTCTCCCCCCTTTTTTTACTTCATCAGTTTCTCTCTCTTTCCTCCATCCCTTTCTCGCTATCCTACTTCCTACCTTGGTCTCTCTCTCTCTCTTACTTCTCTCTCCCTCATCCTCATCCAACTATTTACTCATCGGGCCGAAAACGGACTACGAAAACTCAAAAATAAAAATATTGTTCACAAAACAATATTCATGCAGAAGAACAGAAAAAATTAGAGAGTTTTAACGAAAAATTTGCAGTACGATTCACTTTAACGAAAAACCATATTTTTACATTAAAAAGGCAATCCTAATACTATTCACTTTACCCTTTATTTTGTACTTATCGTTAAAACTCAAAGTTTTCAAGCCCTTTTCATTAGTTTTTCTAAAAAATTAAGATAAGGATAACCAATATTGAACAAAAATTAAAATTAAAAAAATATTAAAAACTCTTCAAAATTTGTATAGCTTGAACCTGTGCTAGATCGATGTACAATTTGCTAACAAATATATATATATATATATATATATATATGTATGTATAATTTTTTTAACAAGATGAAGATATAAGATCACTTTACAGCAAAATGCAATTTGAACCCTCCCAGAAGATTAAAAAAAAAGGAGGGGAAGCTAATCATACGGTTTAGAGAGAGCCAAAGTAATCTTTGAACAAAGAGAAGATGGGGTTGGCCTGAGAAGCTCCCTCCAGTCTCTGAAACATGATTCCCTCCATCCGGGCTTGGACTCCGTCGGAAAACGTCAACTCCTGCAGCACTTCCTTCATTGTTCTATCCACTCCAACCAAACTAGCTCCTATGCCACTTAAAATTTCTGGCAGTGTCGGCGAGGGTCTTGCAAGCTCCACGAGTGCAACCTGACCACACATGCACAGCTGTTCATGAACATCTCAAAGAAAGGATCACACAATCGAAGTTAATAACCAGCATGTTTTTTTGATTTCCACACCTGTTTGTCTTGGGGTATATTTGCCTTGAGCTTTGCTATTGCGACAGCGCAAGAAAGTCCGCCAATAGCATCAACTAAACCCCGTGAAGCTGCATCGTTACCAGTCCAAACTCTCCCTTGTGCAACCTCCTCCATTTTATCTACCTGCCAAGACAACAACATAGGGACACTTTTAGATTTCAAGTTACCAGAAGGAAATGCTAGTCCATGAAGCTGAAACAAAGAATGAATTGACCAGCATACAGTCATCGATCTGGAAAGAGCTGCCTTGTCTCGAAATTGCTTATATGCATTCTGTGCAGACTTAGCAAAGATTTCTGCTTCTTCTGGTCTGTATTGGAAACGAAAAGTTGGGTTTCAAAATTTTGCCATTTGTAGAAATACAGGACAGAACAGATACTCTAGGCAACAAATCTGTTTACCTGAAGGATCGTTGTTCAGCTGCAAGAACTTCAGCATATTTTCCCCTTGATATAATTTCTTTGTTGAAGCCAATCTTCTCATACAGTTTTCCCAGGTTAAACTTCCCTGCAAAGAAAGTTAATATCCAAATTCATAAAAAGATATCACGCAAATATGAAGTAATTTTTATGCATTTAGATTCGTGTCAGTTTACATGTTTTTTACCAGAGTGGTTATATGATATAGGTCAAAATGGGGCCGCAGTGTAGGAACCTGTATAAATTCAAACTCACCCGTCACAACTCCAATGGAACCCGTTAAGGTTAGATTTTCTGCAACAATGGCGTCTGCTGCCATTGCCATATAGTATCCTCCACTTGCTGCCACATCAGACATTGATGCAATGACAGGTTTTGATGCAGCCAAAAGTCTGATTTCCCTCCACATCCTGCCCATCATAAAAACATCAGCCTAACTAGTTAATTGTGTGCACGCAGACACACAAATGCACACTTCCTTTTGTACAGAAGCAATTTATAATCAACAATAATGGCCGTTTACAAATGAAATTAAGCGAAAATATACTAGCACTTACAAATCAGAAGCAAGGGCATCACCTCCAGGGCTGTCAATTCGAATAATAGCGGCCTTATATCTTTTCGATTCTGGAATGGGAAGAACATCAACAAGACGGGTAAAATAATTATAACAGAAATGATACCAATAACCAGTGCTGAAAGGTTTCATATTCAGCAACCACAAAGTACACAACTGCCCCTTATTGGTCTTGTAATGCTTTTTCTTTCTGTACACATGCCACTGCTTTCTATAAATTATATGATATTGCAAGTAAAATGAACAATTTTATCTCTGTTCATTGAGTTACTTCATATAAGTAGTTTTAGAGACGCATGTAAGTACTAAATAAGCAAACAACCATCCACTATCTTAAATAGCAAAGAGCCAAGTCTTGATGTTCCATAATTCTTTTCCTTTCGTAATTCATTTATTGATTGGGCCCCTATATGTTCATCACGTTATCAATCTCCCTTTCTTCCCATTTCATTTAGGCAACGCATTGTTGAGTTCATATATTCACCTAAGAAGATTTCTCAACACAATCACTTAATCAGATCTTAACTTACATGTAAATATCTAGAACCCAAATATTCACTCCCATCTTGAAAACTTCCACATAGGTGAACAACACAACACATGATAAACCATAATGTATGACTGAAACTAGTAAATATAAATTCAAAACACACAATTATCTTGTAGATAATAGTACATCCACATCCTGTATCTTTTATAAAGCCTCTGAAAATATACCAAAATAAAGGACAACACGTTAAGAAAATAAACTTCTATACGATAGACCATAGTCACCATACCTCTCACAGTGCGTATCTTCTCAATGAACTGTTCCCCTATAATACTAGAACCAGGAAGACTTAAACCGCCTCGTACACGACTAATGCTACCTGATGCTCTAATTATGGCTATCTTGTCTTTACCGCCTGATAATCCAACAGTCCATTGCTGAACCTTTGAGTATTTCCTGTTTTAATAACAAAAAAGAAGGAATGGGAAAGGAGGGTCAGGGAGGGTCAGGGAGGATGGTTATACACACGCATACGGAGCATCTGGTGGACAACAAAATACAAGCAATTGAAGGCCACCAATATGAAAGTTGACTACCTGTAATCGACCATAGGAAGAGTTTTTTCTTTTTGCACTCCAAGTCTTTCCTTCAGCATTGAAATAACCTGCAAGGGATGACTATTATTGATACGATGAATGCTGTTTTGCAGGCAAAATATGGGACTTCCATATCAAAATACGGACAACATAATACTTATAAGTAACATATCATAAGATAGAATATAACACTGGAAGAACAATTGAATGTATGTTTGAATGTCATAAATAAACTAAGGTAATTACCAGGCCATAGGACTTCAATATACCCTGACAAACTCGAAGGGCTAAACTGATCTTTAAAAAACTCTCAAATTTCTCGAAATATGTTACATTTTAAAATGTCTGGATCCGAAACACACTGAAACAACCTTCTAAGCCTTCCAAGTATCTAAGATTCCCAACATATGGTATTAATTTTGATTATTTCTTAACATACATCAAACGTCAAACCCAAATCAAAGGGAACCAGAACTCCGTACCTCGTCATCATATTGTATGTTTGTGATCCAGCCTTCTTCTTTCAATTTTTCTACTTGGTAGACTCCTTCATTAATGAAATTCTCGATATCTTCTCTTTTCTTTCCTGTAGAAAATTTTCAGAAGTCCATCGGTTACTTAAACTTAAAGACTTGAAAGTTTGTCAAACATCAAATTACAAAGCACCTCTTGTGGAAGAAATCACATCCAGCCAATTCCCATATATATTATCAAGCAATGCTGTCAGCATCTCACAATTCTCTTCGGACATGGTTGTGCGCGCAAGTTGATCACCGGCACTTTTGTATTTACCAATCCTTTCCACTTGTGGCTCGATTCCAACTTTCTCAAGAACACCTGAAAGAGAGTATGAGAATTCCCTGCAACATGAGCTAATGAATAAGCAATTTCCCACAACAGAAACAACGGATTTCGGGGAAACTGACCTCTTACGAACGAGGACTGAACGGTGAGCCCAAACAAAGAAAAGTAAGCACTTGGAGGTGCATATATCTCTTGGCACGCACTAGCAAGGTAATACTCTTTCTCTCCGCAAGCCGGTACATAGGCCACAACAAATTTACCTGCAACAGTGAAATGTCCATATGATCAAGTTTTTTCTCTTCGACAGAGCGATATTCTAAACTACTCTAATAGCTCGGGCGCAAGGAGGCAGGCACACTTACAAAAACATAACCAAAATTAACAATAATTCACCAAAAAAAAAAAAAAAAAACCTGATTTCTTGAAATCCAAGATATGTCTTCGGATTTCTTCGACTTTGCCCCAGCCACAATTCAAACTTTCAATTTGGAGATAGACACCGGAAATTCGAGGATCGTACGCTGCTTTCATCAAATTCTCACAAATTTGAGGCAGCGAAAGTCCACTCGAAAATCGACTCTTCAGCTGATCAGACACCTGAAAAACGCCAATGAAAATAATTAATTTAGAAAAAAAGCCACAAAGAAAAATGCTTTTTTCGAATGCAATCCCAAAAACGCAGCACAAATAATGTAAAATTCGAAAAAAGGAAAAACCTGGCCGCGCAATTTGATGGTCAAGACGCTGCCTTTCTTGACGCGCTGCCAAGGGAAGGCAATGAGCATGCGGAGCTTGACGACGAAGCTCTTCCACGCGCTCGCCTTCTCGAACTGAAACTCGCCGCTCGGATATTCCTTGGTGTCTGCTGTTGTGATTTTATTTACAATCTCGCCATCGCTCTCCTTCAATTCTTCTTCCTTGGTCTCCGGCGACGACGACTCGATGGCGCGAGCTGAAATGCTCCGCAGAGAAAGAGGGGGAGAGGGAGAGATGGATTGGGGGCGGAGGCATTGGGAGCGGAGGGAGGAGGGAGTGAAGAGAGAGGGCGAAACGACGGAGTTGCAGGCGCGGCGGTGGATTGGGGTGAGGTGGTAGGAAGTGTGGAGGAGGATGACCTTCGACATTCCTCTCAGCTCACCGCAACTGTGAGGACTGAGAAGAAATGAAGAAGAATGGAAGGAACGAAATTTGAAGAGGATGGCAAGGGTTAAATTTTGTCCACGTCACCACTTGTGGCTTTTCACGACGTGTCGTATCCTGGCTCTTCCATCTTAAGGAAAAATCACATTTTTATAATAAAAAATCAATTATGGTATTATTCATTATACCCTTTATTTTATCATTATCATTAAAACTCAAAATTCTCAAATCTTCTTCAATAGTTTTCCTTTTTTATTGTTATTTTGATTTAGTTAGATAAATTATTATCGTAGCGGAGGAGTATTCAAAAGATAGTTCGTGTGGTAATAAAATTTGAATTCAAACTACTGTAGTATATTTCGTTAAGAATTAAACTTAAAATTAAAATTTCCATTAATTTCTGCGTTATTTGGATAACAAACCTCTCCAACATCTTTCTCATCAATGTTGTTCGAAAAAACTTACTAGATTACTAGCTCAATAAGTAAGAACAATATTTTTTTTCCGGCATGAATAGTGATTTTCCACGTGAATATTGTTTTCTAAGGAAGTAATGCTAGGAAAACTAAATTTACAAACTAATCATCAACTTTCGTGTTCTTTAATTTTCAAAACTGTATGTTTAAATTTAATTTCCTTAGCATAACCTCATAAACAATATTTTTATTTTTGGAGTTTTATTGGTCCGTTATCGGCCCAATGAGTAAATAGTTCGACGGTGACACTAAAATGGCCAATTTCTTATCCTCTCCGAACGAACAAGCATCTCAACCATGGCTTCTGTGGCAGTGGCACCACCACCACTCTCATGCCATTCTCGGCCCACACCTAAAGTCAAACACTTCCTCCGCCCAATCTTCCCTCCAAAACCAAAACCACTTTCTTCTCTCTCCGCCGCGCAGACAACCGCCCACCACCAAACAGACTCTCTCACTTTCCTCCAAGACGTCAACAATCTCTGTGACGCCGGAAACCTCTCGGAGGCTCTGACCCTTCTTCAAGCACACTCTCACGATGCAATTTCCAGTTCACAGCAAGGGAAAGACGCCATGGGAGCCTTGTTACAGGCCTGCGGGCGCCGCAAGGACGTTGAAACCGGACGCAAAGTCCACAACTTGGTCTCCGCGTCGACCCTTTTCAGCAATGACTTTGTTCTCAACACACGCATCATTACCATGTATGCAATGTGCGGTTCTCCTTTGGATTCCCGCTCAGTTTTCGACGGGCTGAAGAGGAAGAACTTGTTCCAGTGGAATGCGCTTGTTAGTGGGTATGCAAGAAACGAGCTTTTTGTTGATGCCATTGATGTGTTTGTTGAGTTGATCAGCGTTACGGAGTTTAAACCCGATAATTTTACTTTTCCCTGTGTTTTTAAGGCCTGTGGGGGGATTTCAGACATGGGTTTGGGACAGGTTGTTCATGGGATGGCTGAGAAGATGGGATTGATTTCGGATGTGTTTGTGGGCAATGCGTTGATTGCAATGTATGGGAAATGCGGGTCGGTTGAGGATGCAGCTAAAGTGTTCGAGATAATGCCTGAGAAGAATTTGGTTTCTTGGAATTCGATGATATGCGGGTTCTCGGAGAATGGATTGGATCATGAGAGTTATAGTTTGTTGGGGAAGATTTTAGAGGGTGATGAAGCTCTAGTACCGGATGTTGCTACGTTGGTGACTGTATTGCCTTTGTGTGCTGGGAACGGAGAAGTAAATATGGGGATGATGATTCATAGTTTGGCAGTGAAATTGGGGCTGAACCAGGAATTAATGGTGAATAATGCGTTGGCGGACATGTACTCAAAATGTGGGTACTCAGTTGAAGCTCAAGTCTTGTTTGACAAGAATGACACGAAAAATGTGGTTTCTTGGAATTCCGTCATAGGAGGTTTTTCTAGAGAAGGGGATGTATGTGGCACGTTTGGTCTTTTGCGAAAAATGCAGATGGAAGGGGAGAAAGTGAAGGTGAATGAGGTCACCATACTGAATGTGTTACCGGCTTGTTTGGAGGAGTCGGAACTTTTGAGCTTGAAAGAACTTCATGCTTATTCATTCAGACATGGGTTTATATATGATGAACTGGTAGCCAATGCTTTTGTTGCAGCGTACACGAAATGTGGGTCACTAAATTCCGCTGAGCTGGTTTTTCATGGTATTGAGACGAAGACAGTGGGCTCCTGGAACGCAGTTATTGGTGGCTGTGCCCAAAATGGAGATCCATACAAAGCTTTAGATTTGTACCTTCAAATGAAATATTCAGGCTTGGATCCTGACGAGTTTAGCATCGGTAGCCTCCTTTTAGCTTGTGCCCACCTGAAACATCTTCAACATGGGAGAGAGATTCATGGATTTGTGCTACGTAATGGGTTAGAAGTGGATTCATTCATTGGTATTTCATTACAGTCCCTTTACATCCATTGTGGTAAATTATCATCTGCAAGAGTATTATTTGATAGGACAGAATCGAAAATTAGAGTGTCTTGGAATGCAATGATCGCCGGTTACACTCAGGTTGGACTTCCTGACAAAGCCCTTGATCTCTTTCGCCAAATGCTGTCTGATGAAATCCTACCTTGTGCAATTGCAACAATGAGCATGTTTGGGGCTTGTTCACAACTGTCAGCTTTGCGTTCAGGAAAAGAGCTGCATTGTTTCGCTTTGAAAGCTCGCCTCACAGAAGACCTTTTTGTTGGTTGCTCTCTCATAGATATGTATGCAAAAAGTGGCTGCATCGAACAATCTCATAGAGTTTTTGACCGGTTAACCAAGAAGGATGTGCCTTCATGGAACGTTATAATTGCAGGATACGGAATTCATGGACATGGAAACAAGGCTTTAGAGCTCTTCAGAGAAATGCTAAGTTTTGGCCAGAAGCCTGATGGCTTTACGTTTATCGGAATTTTAACTGCATGTAGCCATGCTGGGTTGGTTAAGGAGGGGGTAGAATATTTCAACCAGATGCAAAGCTTGTACAAAATAGAGCCGAAACTAGAGCATTATGCATGTGTGGTGGACATGCTTGGCCGGGCTGGCCGGTTGGAGGAAGCTTTAAACCTCATACATGAGATGCCGGAGGAGCCAGATACTAGAATGTGGAGCTCATTGCTTAGTTCCTGTAGGAGTCATAATAATTTGGACATGGGGCAGAAAATCGCTGAAAAATTGTTAGACGTAGAGCCTGAAAAGGCGGAAAATTACGTGCTGCTGTCTAACTTGTATGCCGCAGCAGGTAAATGGGATAGTGTGAGACACGTGCGGCGAAAGATGAAGGAGACTGGCCTTCAGAAAGATGCCGGACGCAGCTGGATTGAAGTCGGAGGGCAAGTTTACAGCTTTGTTGTTGGCGACACATCTCTGCCAGAGTCCGGAGAGATCAAGAAATGTGGACAAGGTTAGAGGAAAAGATAAGTGAATTCGGATACAAACCCGACACAGGCTGTGTGCTTCATGAACTAGGAGAAGACGAGAAGGTTGAAATACTACGGGGACATAGCGAGAAGCTTGCGATTTCATTCGGTTTGTTGAAGACGAGTAGAAGTAGAACAACATTGAGAGTCTGCAAAAATCTGCGGATTTGTGTGGATTGCCATAATGCAGCTAAGCTGATATCGAAAGTTGTTGAAAGGGAGATTATTATGAGAGATAATAAGCGCTTCCATCATTTCAAACATGGCCTTTGTTCTTGTGGAGATTATTGGTAAATCAGGAGTGAAACTGATTTCCGAATGCATGAGAAAAAAAGAAGTCGGTGTAGCAGAGATGGGAATGTTTAGTTGAATGTTTGGGGACACAAGAAATGACAGGATTAAGAGCGAGGGTATCCGAGGTAAAGTGGGAGTCGTCAGAATTGAATATAAGATGAAAGAAAATGGGTTAAGGTGGTTTGGATATGTGAACCAAAGGCCTATAAATGCTCAGGGCAAAAGGGATAGAAGAAGACTTAGGAAGACTTGGAAAGAGGCTTTACGAAAAGACATAAAGTACTTGGAGGACTCTGCGCAAAACTGATGCGACTAGAATGACTCAAATTTTGGGTTATATTGATTCTTGTGAAAATCCTCAAAATTCATTGGAAAACGTGGGTTATAACTCACAGTTGTAAAAAAATGAAATTTTTAGTTTTAGGAAACATTTTGTGTATGAGTTTACGAAAATGTTGCAAGACCTTTGGACATGATCCTACTGTTGATTAGGTCTCAGAACTATTTTTATTGATTTTTAAAGTTGAAAAAATAGAAAAATAATATAAACTAATAGCAAGGCTCCCAAAGAGATTTGTAGGTTTCGAAAATATTTGGAATATTTTGGTTTATAATGAATCTTGTAGAAGTTCTCAAAATCGATTGGAAAACATGGATTATAACTCATAGTTTTTGTGAAAAAATTGAAATTTTTAGTTTTAGGAAATATTTTGTGTGGAAATTAACGAAAATGTTGCAAGACAATTAGATGTAATTTTATCCCTTATTAGGGCTCGAAACTATTTTTCATTGATTTTTAAAGTTGAAAAATAGAAAAAATAAACTCATAGCGGCCCCAAAAGAGATTTGTAGGTATCCAAAATCTTGGAAATGTCCTAAATTAATTTTAGGAAACATATGGTGCGAATAGAATGACTCTAAATTTGACTTATAATAAATGTTGTAAAAGTTCTCAAAATCGATTGGAATATTATGGTTATAACTCACAGTTTTTGTGAAATAATTAAATTTTTAGCTTTAGAAAATATTTTGCGTCCCAGTTAAGGAAAATGTTTTGCGTCCCGCCCCATTTTTTGTGCACACTATGCCTCATTTTGCGTGCCAAATTTCTTTGTGCGCTGAGCTCGCCTCATTTTGCATGGCAGAAGCCTGTCTTGCTTTTTGTGCCTCATTTTTCGTGCTTCGAGCCTTTGTGGGCTGAATTTTTCGTCCATGAGCTCGCCTCGTTTCGCATGCGCAAAAGGCTATCTCGTTTTATGTGAGTAGAGCCCGCCTCGATTTGCTTGCGCGGAGTGCGCCTCATTTTGCAAGCTTTTTTTTCGTGTGCCGAGACCGCCTCATTTAACATGACAGAAGCCCATCTAGTTTTCTATGAGCGAAGCCTGCCTTATTCACCCGCCGAGTAGAACTTTAAGAAAATATTTTACATAAGAGTTAAGGAAAATGTTGCAAGACTCAGCTTTTATAAAAAATTTGAAATTCTCTTTGTTGTTGTTATATTGCTGCAAAAATGTTATCATAGCAAATTGAATCTGAAGTTGAAGGTCAATATTTATAGACCTTGTTACATATGGAATAATTTTTCCATTCAATTGTCACGTTGTGTTATCAATTTATTTAAATTATAACATATGCATTAGTACTGTATTTTAGATTAATAACTTATACACGATGAAGGGCTTTCGAATTCAAATAAAAGGCGACAAACACATTGTTCTAACTAATTGCCTAATCCACACAAGCTTACAAAGATTAAAACTTCCGATAATTTATAGTTAAGGTTCCGCACCATCAATTTGACTTTTGTTTCAAAGTACATATTCAAGAGGACAAAACCTAATAACCTATCTCTTTTTTGGTTTTTTATGTTAAAATAAAACATACCAAAAAACCTCTTAAATTTGAACAACTAAGAAAAAAGAATATCTATATAAAGCAAAAAGTTATATTTTTAATAGTTTAAAGTGTTAAATGAGCATACAAGACGGTTTCAGAGAAAACAAATGCTATTACCATTTACGTCTCATTCGATTTAAAAAGTGTGGATCTTCATGATTATTCATTCATAAGGATTCTCGTTAGATTCTCTTTTTAAGGATCATAAAGATTTTTTAATCACATTCGTTCATCGTATATCATGCGGTCATAAATTATTGTAAAATTTTTTATTTGAAATTGAACATAAACAATACTTAATAAAAATTGACCAAACAATCTACAATAAATAAATATGATTAGAAGATTTCCGAAATCTTATTTGCGAGCATCCTCTCTTGTTATCCATATCCAAACGAGATTTTGACAACCTTGGCTTTCGGGTCCGCAATGCGGATCCCTCGCTGAAATAAAACTAAAATAATAAAATAATAAATAAATAGTAAATAAAAGTAAAGAAAATGACTGCAGAGATTGAGAAGCAGAAAAACTTTGAAAGCCTCGATTTTTTTCGCTTGTTATAGTTTGTCAGCTGTTAGCTGTTAGCAGTAGCAGCAAAATAATTGTGGAAATGGCGAGCTTGCCGTCTCCGTCGTCTCCGGCGTCGCCATCCCCCTCTGCTTCCAGCTCTGATAACTCCGCCACTCAACCCATCTCTCACTCTCCTCCAAATCCACAGGTTTTTTTTTCTCTCTTTCCTCATCTCTCTCTTTATATACATATATCTGTATATATACACACACACATACAGATATATATATATATATACATATGTATGTATACAAATGGTTTGTGTAATGATTTCTTATGGGTTTTTTTCCATTTCGTATTTTAAATACGTTGAAGGTTGAAGCTGGAGTCAACAATGGAGTTCTAGATGCCGAGGAGAAGAAGCCTGGTATTATTTCTGGATATTTTGAGTGAGTATCTCTTTCCTTTCTTGTCCGATTTTTCGCTTCTTTTTTTGTTTGAATATTTCAAATTTTCAACTTTACATGTTCAGGAATGTATTTTGCAATTACCATGCCATTATTCTCTCTTTTTAGTAATTATTTTTCAATTTTTTTGGTATTTATTTTGCCCTGTAGATTCAATTCTAGTGAAAAGGATGAAATCTTGCTTGTCGGTGTGCGTAATTTGCTCTACTGGTTATCTGTTTTAACTTGTAAGTTTGGTTTTTGGTAACATCTCTTCACAAACGTCACTTGTGTTTGTTTATGTGTTTGTCATTTATATTTTGCTAGGTGTGTGTGTGTGAATTTGTTTCCAGGTAAAAGCAAATAAAGAGCGAATTACTTAAACCGGTTGGGTTTAAGTAGTCTTGAGTTTCGAAATTTTAATAGATTGTTTAGGGACAGCTCAAATCTCTGCAGAGAGCATATAAACCATGTTTTAGTTGCAAATAATTGTGGCCTAAAGATTGATCGATGAATGGATCTTGTGTGGATCATTTTGACATGATATTCTGTAATGCAATTGATCGATTTTAGTTATTTGTACAGTATACTGGGTCGTTAGAGTGGTTTCTATTACTTTGAAAATTATGTTGTGAAACTCGTCTCAGACTCTCTCATCTTCTGCCCTTTAGTATGCTCGCGTGTTTTAATGGTTTCCTGATTGAAACAAAGTAGTGCTACGTTCTATTTGTTTGATTTTCATGAGTTAATTCTTCCCATTTTCTGAATTTAAATTTCCCGGCCTTACACTAGCTTACACTTCTAAGCTCTAAGCCTTGCTCTCTGCTTTGCATCTGCACGCAAACAAAGGGAAACGGTGGTCTTTATCAACCACAAGTCTCCGTAATTACAACTGTAGTAATGTAGCAGTCCATAGTGGTCGAAATTTAGCCATCTGAAGTCTCTATCGACGTTATTAACCACTTCATTGTAAGAAGCTACTACGATACATATCTTAAATTAGACTGAGGAGGTTCCTTTGTTTGCAAAATGATACCCGAACATCCTCTGACCTCCGAAGCAGCACATGTAGATGGCATCATTTACCTGTCTTCCCTTTTGTTAAAAATGTAGACTATATGTGAATTCCATCTAGAAGCTCACATGCCCATTACATGGTGCTTTTTCTTTATTTCTTCTCCCTGTAATCGTAATTTCTTGGAATTGATAATGGTTGGTGACAGGTTTTCATAAGCGGAAGGTCTTTGTGTGATGCAGGAGCATCCGAAGGGCTTATGATGCCTGGTTGATCTACCATTTATGAGCTCCGTTTTTTCAAAATGCATGTCACATATGAGTTTTTAAGTATTTTAAGGGCTAGGACTATCACGTATCAGGTTATTTTTATAACCAGTGGTTGGGATGCTAGGGCTGTTGTAACATGTTATTGTGAGTCTTTGTAATTAGTTTTTAACATAACACCCCGTTGTTTTTGGATCGCTCTTTCCCTGCCCTAGATTTATAATTGTCATTGTTATAGTTTGCTCCTACCGATGCCTTCTTCATATTCGGCTCTCCTCTTGCTGCAAGCTTAGCGGAAAGTTTTCCGCTGCTGCCGGCTATTACTTACTCTTAGCTACTCAGTTATATTTCATGCTTAAAATGAACCTTAACTTCTCTTGCATGTTATATCATGAATTTGAACCAGTGCCTAGCACCTGGATGTTAAACTATGACCTTTGTTTGTGTTAGCGACCTCCATAGCGCGAGCCACAGAGAGAAGTTCAAGAAATATGAAGCTGACTATAGCCGTTGGTTGACTGCAAAATACTTCTCAAAAACAAACCTATATGGAGGTGTGCAACGTTTTCTTAATTTATGATGCAGAATACATTTTAAGTATCATTCAGAATTTATTTTGCTTCGTTCTTGCAGGCGACATCTTTGATGAGAGTGTGACAATACATGATCAGGTTATAAAGTCAAGCAGGTACAGTATACTGAACCTTGTTGTTCTAACTGAATTTCCTATGCTATTTCCGAAGCTAATCATGTTTCGTTCCTCTATGTCTAGATGGCCTCGCACCCTCTCATATGCAGACCCGGTCCAGTTTCTTGAAGAACAGAACAGCTTTTCAACTTTTACCACTACAGCAGAAACCTCGCCTACCATCTCAAACGGGAAGCACCTGGTAAAGAAGAGCGGTTGATGATAGTTTTCTTTGTTTTGTTTTTTTTTTTTCGATTTTCAGGGTCTATTTGTATCATATTGTATCATAAACAAATGTTCTGATGCACGCTAACAAATGACTCGAGTACATGGACCCAAAAATTTTGAAAATCTCCAATCAAGTTGTTAGAAGTTTCTTGTATCTATTGTCAATTTATGCCTTTTGCACCGAAAATGGTCAGATACCTGCCATCTTATTGAGAAGATCGTATGGATGCAGATCATATCGATGACATTTACAGAATGATAACATCGTATGTATGCAGATCGCTGACAAATTACATCAGACCTCTTAAACTCGTGTGTCTTTGACCGTGTTTACTTGTAGAATGATAACATTGCGTGCATCAGTACTGCTGAACCGCTGTACTGGATGGAACAAAGCTGAATTCTCCATGGTAGGGATGCAATC